GTTGGGAGTTCTGTACACTTCCATGGTCTGATTGATTATTTCCTCCCCCAGTTTGGGGAAGCTTTCAGCAATTATTTCTTCAAATACTCTTTCTATTTCTTTTTCTCTCCCTTCTTCTTCTGGTACCCCTATAATGTGGATATTGTTCCTTTTGGATTGGTCACATAGTTCTCTTAATATTGTTTCATTCCTGGAGATCCTTTTATCTCTCTCTGTGCCAGCTTCTATGTGTTCCTGTCCTCTGGTTTCTATTCCATCAATGGCCTTCTCCATCTTATCCATTCTGTTCATAAATCTTTCTAGAGATTGTTTCATTTCTGTAATCTCCCTCCAGACTTCCTCCCTTAGCTCTTGCATATTTCTCTGCAGCTCCATCAGCATGGTTATGAGCTTTATTTTTTTCTTTTTCAGGAAGACTGGTTAGGTCTATCTCCTTCTCAGGGTTTGCCTCTGTGATCTTGGTCTGTATCAATTTCTTCTGCTTTTTCATGGCGATAGATGTATTTGTGGGGAGCTGGCGTGTGTGTTGGGTAAGAGAAAGTCCCTTCTTGCCAGTTTGTGGCCTTCCTCTCCTGGGAGAACAGCAGCCTCTAGTGGCTTGTGCTGGGCAGCTGGGTGCAGACGGGGCTTCTGATCTTGCCCAGCCGCTATGGAGTTTATTTAGCTCTGCAGTTGCTGTGGGTGTGGCCTGCCTCAGGCTGCTGCTCCAATATGGCGGAGCCACATTGGAGGGGGAACAGGTGGGAGGCTGTTTATTGCAGTGAGGGGCCTCTGAGCTGTGCTGCTGGGGTTTGGGCGCCCAGAGTTCCCTGGGATTCGCAGCTGCTGGGCTAAGTGTCCCAGGGCGCTTCCGTCCAGCTGTGGGGTCCCTGTCCATTTAAGACTTTCAAAAAGCACTCGCTTTTCTTTGTCCTGGGAGCGCCAGCTGTGGGGACCCGCTCACACATCTTACTGTCCTGTTTCCCTAGTTTCCAGCACCCCATGCATGCACTGTGTCTGTGTTCCAGTGCAGATGGCTAGGGCTGGGTGATTAGCAGTCCTGGGCTCCCTCTCCCTCCCCCGTCCGACTCCTCTCCTCCCACCAGGAGCTGAAGGGAGGGGTGCTCAGGTCCCGCTGGGCCAGGGCTTGTATCTTACCCCCTTCGCGAGGCACTAGGTTCTCACAGGTGTGGATGTGGTCTGGCTGTTGTCCTGTGTCTTCTGGTCTCTCTTTTAGGATTAGTTGTATTTGTTGTATTTTCAAAAATATATATGGTTTTGGGAGGAGATTTCCGCTGCTCTACTCATGCCACCATCCTGGTTCTCTCTCCATTTTACTCACTTTTAAGAAGCAGTTGCTTGTCAGGTTTTGGTATACTATTGAAAAGGATGATCCACAATTATCTTAAAATGCTGTTAAAAATATTCTTCTCTTTTCCAACTTCATATCTGTGAGTTCATATTTTCCTTACATACTTCCACCAAAACAACATAAAGCAATGAATTGAATGTTGAAACAATATAAGAACCCAGCTGTCTTCCATTCAGCTAGACTTTAAGGAGATTTTCAAAATTTAAAAGTGTCACTCCTCTCACTTCTTTTTGTTTGTTTGTTTTGGAAAACAGTTACAGTTCATTAAAAATGTGTTATTTCTATTAATGTGCAATGGTTATGTTATTATCATTTAAAAAATTTCTCAGTTTTAATTTTTGATATGGTAAATTTTGATAAATATAACCAACTAACATAAACAAAACTCTTTGGAATCCTTATTTTCAGAGTTTAAAGAGATCCTGAGATTTAAAAAAATTGAGAATTACTTGTCTACATGATAATATGCAGCCTTAGAGAAGTAAGAGAGCCATTGAGTAACCTCTGATTCTTTTTAATGTTTTTTAAATCTTTCATTTTTTCTAATAAGGCCAGAAACCAATGTTCTTAATATCCTTGTAGGAATGGGACAATGCAAATCTAAAATTTTTTTCCAATTTAGCTATTAAGATTCTCATTTGTAATTCTAAGTTAGTTATCCTTTCCTCTAGTGAATTTTAGGCATAAATATAATTGGAAGTCAGGAATGCGACACATGTCACTAGAACAAAAAGAAAGATTGGTAGAATTTGTGGAGTAGTAGTAATAATAATAATAATAATAATCTGAGCCTGTCTGTTCATTTACAGGTACAGTCCTTACAAGTGTACTAGTAAAACTTCTTTTAGCCATGGAAATGAGGACATCACAGAATGAATTAGTTAAATCTATAGAGGTTATTTAAAAATCTTATTTTATATTGTTATTTAATACAGAAGCACCAAAAAGATACCCTCTCCCCCCCAACCCCCCGCCTCACCCCACACACAAGTCACTTATTCTAGCTTCTTTCTTGTTTTCCTCTTTGGTATGCATTCTTATAAAATGATTAAAAAGTAGGCATTAGATAGTAGAAAAAAATGGGAAACGTGTAAAATTTATAACATGGCTTATCAATCTCATACTTTAGACAAAGAGAAAATATTTAAATATAGAAGTATTGCTCCCTACTTTATTCTACCTTTGGCACTGGAAAGAAGTCATCTGGGGTCTCAAAATGCTTTAGGAGACATTGTCTTGTGTCAGAATATCACAAAACTAGGAACAAAGCTCAGATTGGAGAAAGAGAAGATGTGAGTCTTTAAAACTTAAGGTTTTCTTAAATTCAGTGTTGAAACAGATTTATGTTTTGTCAGGAAGCCTGGGTCATGCTATATAAGTAGAGATTGTATATTCTAATTTTTATGGACAGAGTCTATCAGTATTTTCTTGTTTAAATATAGATTATAAGATTACTGTTCAAATTACAGTGGGCAGTTTAGGTCACCCATGGCTAACTTACGTAAGAAGATTAGTCATTTGAATGAAAACTTGTCTAGGCCACAAAACTACCACATTTCCACATAAAGTAGGTGCATCCCACTTGGTTTAACTGGTCTTGGCATTTGACTCTAAAAATAGGCCTACATTGTGGTAAAAATCTAACCTGCTTGTTTGTCCAAATCATGTGAAGAAAATCAGTTTTGACATGGCTCTTAAGTATAAGCAAGAATATCCTATGTGTGGCAGAAAGAATTAAGAGTCAGTTCCTTTAAAACTACTTGTGATCATTTGAGGAGAATTTTAAGTATAAAGAAAACTTTAAAATAGTTTAAGATGCTTAGAAAACAGGAGAGTTGGAGGGAGGAGAAGAGAGTTGTGTAGAATGGAGAAGCAGTAGATGTGGGATGTATTGTGTATAGTGTGAGGAGATAGAAGTATAAAAAAAAAGGAAGAAAAGGAAAACCAGTGAACTCTCAGAATTACTAATATGTTCAGCAAAGTTCTAGTAACATCGTTGGTTCTTGGACTTTGAATTATTTTGGAGGATAGCTGATAAGCTCCCCAAAACATACAAAGCAACAAGTTTAGATACGTGTTTAGAGAGCAAAGGCAGAAGGAGCCCAGAAGATAATACTGGATGTATATGTGGATGTGAGAAGAGAGATACCTGTCTAACTGCCCTAATTACTGACTTGCTTATTTCTCCTGAACTCTGTCTATCATTATGCATATAAGTGTAGTATATAGTCTGGTAATTGTAGTATAAAACATCTAGGAAGTCATTTGTATTTCTTTGAAGTTAGTACCAGGAATACCTATCATCCTGTGATAAAAACACTACAAGTCTGTCTCCAAGAAGGGACTAGCGGTTAACAAAGGGGTGGGGTGGGTGAAGGTGGGTGGGGAGGGAGGGAGAAGGGAATTGAGGGATATTATGATTGGCACACATGGTGTGTATGTGTGGGGTCACAGGGAAGGCAGTATAGCATAGAGAAGACAAGTAGTGACTCTATAGCGTCTTACTATGTTGATGAACAGTGACTGCATAGGGTGTGGGGGGCACTTGATAATATGGGTGACTGTAGAAACCACAATGTTTTTCATGTGAGACTTTTGTAGGAATGTATATCAATGATACCTTAATAAAAAAATAAATTAAAAAATTCCCACCACAGTCTGTAGAAAGTAATAGTAATGAAAACACTCATCTAATAGATAAAGTAGATAAAATATTTATGATTTGTGACTCTCCTGCCACCATGAGTGTTTTCTGATTTCTTCAGTTTGCAGTGCTCCTCAGCATAATAACTAATAGTAAAAAACAGTGCATTTGAAATGGTCCCTGCAGTATAGTTCTGAGAGGACTTACTCCTTTGTGGCTAAAGAACTTTTGATATATATTGAACTATCATAAAAGCCTTATTTAATGTATGCTTACAGTGCAGATATGTCCCAACTTTTACAATAGCCCAAATGAGTGAACAATTCACGTCAAAAATTCTTAAAGTAACAAATAGTAACCACTTGGTATTTTATAGGGAAATGAGACATTTGAGAAGAGTTGAGATGTTTAGCTTTGATGTTGTGCACTTTGACCTGTAAGAGACATAATGGTAATGTTTGTATCTTTCCTTGAGGAAATTGCTTTGTGTTTTTAAGATCTTACTGGCCTCTAGTGGTAATATGATACCATAGTTTAAACATTCCTAGTTGGTATGAGTGACTAGGAATAAAGCCATTTAAAAAGCATAGGAGGCCAGTAACTTCACTCTTTCAGTTCTGTGTCAACAATACTGTTAATAGGTACATGCAACTTCATCTTCCTCCCAAAGGCTAGAGGCTCTATCTTTTGCTCTGGTCTCTGAGTCACCCCCATGTCTTTATTCTAAATAATACTTGTTTCCCTCCAAAGCAACCTCCCATAGTTTTAATGGTATATACAGCAATGATTACTCTGCCAAGCTTGTGCTACAGTTCTTCCTCTTTTCTGCAGACTGTAGGGTCCATTTTTCTGTATATAATAGCTTTTCTTAAGAGGAAGTTTTCAACTTACCACTTAGATTCATGTTTAGATTTCTTTATTAAATTTGATTTTGAAGAATCCTAATGCTAGTTGACTGAGCATGATGATGATTTATCACTTTTGTTTTTCATATTTGTCACACAGATGTGAAAGGACCACCTACCCATCGTCTGTCTTGTGGCCAGTCACCCTACAGTGATACAACAACATGGGAGCGGAAGTACTGCATCCTCACAGACAGCCAGTTGGTGTTGCTCAACAAGGAGAAGGAGGTCAGATGGGTATTACAAAGAAAAGCTACTTCCCTTTTCTGATAAAATTCCTGAAGTAATCTAGTTTATTTGCATTTTGATAAATTGCATTTATGAAAGTGGAGGCTAGTTTATGAATGATAAACTATAAATAACTCTAAAGAGCTGCTAATGGCATAATGATATGTGATTGCCGTGAGGAACAAGTTCAAAAGGATAGAGCTGGATTTTCACTAAGAAACAGTGAAAGAGATACTGAGTTGAGTAATGTAGAATGAGAACAGATTAGATTGTATAACCTGGCTCCAGAAATGACCTGGAGGGTCTCTTGGAAATTATATCTAGCTCCTAGGAAGTAACAAAGGCACAGTCAGTGGATTAATTGAAGGAGGTTTAATGAAGGGACTGTATACCAAGGCATGGGAGCGTAAGGGACCCAGCAAAGGGTGCTGAAGCACCCACAAACTAGCACCAGCAGAAAGCAGTTATCACTGTAGACCTTTAGGTTAAGGAACAGGAGCAGTATTTCTGGAACCAGAGAACAGTAGTTGCAGGAGCAGGCTGCATGACAGTTGGCTATTCTCAAAAGAACTCAGCCTTTACTAAAACAGAAGTGGCCAGCAGGGAGGAAGCAAGGGAAAATAAACACTCCAGCTCTCCTCCTGCCTTCTGATTTCTTGCCAGTGTTACCACTGGCCAAACCTAACTTTAAGCCAGAGGAAAAAGGTTGCTCTTGGTGTGTTCTTTAGAGGTTTGCTTCCTGAAAGACAAAGGAGAACATCGAACAGCGGAGGAGAGAAGGGCAGAGTAGACCTGGAGAAGCAGACAGAATGTAATTAGCACAGATGTTTAGTTCTAGGTAAACTTTTTGCCCTAAATTAAAAACCTCTTGAACATATCATATACTATCACTGATTTAACTCTCAAACCTTTACAGTGTATAAATCTTTCCACATCCAAGTAATTCATTTGCCTACTGGTGACTTATCAGATAGTTGGTATTCCAATTTGGTAGGACCATAAAACCATCCTACTCCCAAACTCCACAACATAAAAAAATGAGTGACTGTGCTTGACAAAGAAGAGGAGTAACAGGAGAGAAGGAGAATAAAAGATCTAATTCTGTGAAAGAGAAAGATTAATTTCCAAAAATATATATAAATGACTAGAAAGCTGTCAGTGGACTATCAATTTAGTAAGTCATCCCTCCTGAGAAGTGAGTTCAGAGGAAGCAATGACCAGGAAATTCATTTCCCAGTTCTCATATGTGGATCCACCTCCCTTTGTTCTTCTCTCTCCCCTCCTTCTCTGCCTCTTTTCTTTTCCATCCCTTCTCTTACTAAGCATTTTTAAATACAAGTCTTCCTCAACTTACAATTGTATTTACATCCCAATAAAGCCATTGTAAGTTGAAGACATCAGAATTTAAAAATGCATTTATAGCTTGTGGCCTACCAAACATCATAGCTCAGCTTAGCCTACCTGAAACGTGCTCAGAACTCTACACTAGCCTACAGTTGGGCTAACTCATCTGGCACAAAGCCTGTTTTATAATAAAGTGTTGACTCTCTCCTGTAATTGACTGAATACTATACTGAAAGTGAAAAGCAGAATGTATGTCAGTGGATCGGTCATTTACCCTCATACTCTCATGGCCGACTGAGAGTTGCGGCTCACTGCCACTGCTGGATGTCACAGGAGAGAAATGCTGCCACCTGTCACTAACCCGGGAAAGGATCAAAATCCAAAATCCAAAGTAGGCTTTCTATTGAATGAGTATCACTTTGGCACCATTATGAATTTGAAAAACTGTTAAGTGTTCCTGAGTTGGGGACCATCTGTATAGTTAAAGCAAAGTAATAACAGTGAAGCAGTTTCACTTTCTTCTTTTATTTTAATAGCAGCTCTTACTTGCAAGGCCCAGCTAATATGTCCTCTGTGAAGAACTTCCTTATTTATTATTTTTCTCCAGTCATTGAAAAATGTTCTTTACTTTTGTTACCATCTCTGTACCCATGACCCTTTTCCAGTATTTTAATATTATTAAATTTAACTTTATTAAAATAACTTAATAAGGGTCAGCCTTTTATGGAACAATCTATGTTAAGTAGATACATATTACAAATTGATAGAGTGAATATAAGTATAGAAGATTTCTAATTACCCACTTTGAATAAACAGATAATTCAAAATGCTCATTTTAACCAAACTGCTCTGCCCACAGTCTCTTGTCAGAGCAATTAATAAGAATTAATATGAACAGGTCATTTACCATCTTTTTACCCTTACCTAATTTTATTCAATTTAGTAGTGTAATAGATTAAATAACCTATGAATAAGTAGCATAAGGTCAAGAAGCATGCCTTATCTAGAACCAAGATATAATCTATCGATTGAATATTACTGATCAGTTGCATAATCTAGGCCTGGGCTCCCTTTTTATAACTGTCCATGGTTAACAGTTTTCTAAAACAGTATCTTGTGTACTTTATCCCTTTTTATGTCAGTCATCATGTGTACCCTGACACCTGGGGAGCCCCTCATCTTCCACACTGTCCACATGGCTCTCTAAGTCCCCTTTCCTGCCCTTGCCTTCCCCTCATCTTTCACACCTCTTGAAAGCCTTACATTAGGCCTTCTTCAACTTATGGCCCATCATCATCAAAATCAGTGACTTATTCCATCTCTTTTCTGAAGGAATCCCTTAAAGTCTTGGTTTCATGAGAACCTGTATCTTCCCTGAGGACATTCTCTTCTATGAAGTCTTGTCAGATGATGGCTCTTTTTCTCCCACAGACCTCACACCATGTTGCCTGTATGTACAAGGTATCCATTTCCTTTCATGGCTGCTTCCTCTCATTCTTCCTCATTTTCCCTAAAAAGCCCAAATTATAAACCTTGTGTCATAGTCATCTTCCAGCCCCCAGTCATTCCCCCAAATTTTTGTGTTGATTTGAGCTCCTGGCTCATTATCATTATCTTCAGTACTGCTCTGGCCTTATTTTGTGATGATACCAAAATCCACCAAGACAATTATTTCAACTCATTGGCTCTCAGTCCCTTGGGTTCCTCTCCTCTAAGAATCTTCTTTGCCCTGCCTCATTGCTACAACGTCTTCATATTCTCAGTTTGTGTACATCTTGATTTCTGACCATCACCTCCTATCTTTATAACTCTGTCTCTTCAGTCCTTTTGGGACCTCTGGTCTATTGATCCTATCACCTTTTCTGCTCCTTGTATCTCTTCCCTCCATGGTCAGTCATTCTAGTTGCTCCCTTGCATGTTATTTCTTTGTCCTTCTCTTGCATCATCATACTCACTTGGAGATGTGAGAGCCCTGTTAATTCCTGCTCCTCATCTCTCCTGCCCTGCTTCCTTGCAGCATGATGTGTCTGGAGAAAATCATTCCACCATGCTACTAGTCTTTAAACTAATGCCCGCAAATATCAAGGGAGCCCCTAAAGCTGCTTAGCAACCACAAAACATTTTCCCAGTCCATAAGGTGGACTGAAATGGACTGGGAAAATGTCATGAACAATAAAATACAATAAAATGAATTGTTAAGAAAAATAGAATTTTAAAAAGACAAAAATACAAGCCCAAATTTTTATTAAATTTAATAAAAATGAAATTATAATTAAATATCCACAGAATAATCATAACAGGAAAAGAAGGAATAAAATTACAAAATCATTACATGTTCATGGGAAGTATGCTGCATAATGAACAAATCCACTGATCACACCAGGCAACCCTCTTTTCAGTATCTGTACTGGTAAATTGTTTATTGCAAACCAATAACAATTTGCAGAACAACACAGGATCTTGGATCACCCTTATAGTATAGCACAATCTAAAGTGATTTTTAAGGTGATTTTCTTTCACACCTCTGTTCTGATCCCTTCTCTCTTACCTCACTTAGAGGTGATTATTTCATTTCTTCACAGAGAGAATTCAAGTTCTCCATTACCATGTCCACCCATCCACCAGTAACTATTTCCTTGTCCCCCAGTTTCTCTTGTTTAACTGTGGTTGAACTGTCCACAATCCACCCCTCCATGTGTACACATTCTGTTACTTCTTGACCATTTAAGAATGTACCACTAGCAATTCTTTCCTGCCTTGTTTACATTTTCAATTTTTTGCTCTCAACTCAATCATTTCCATTAGCATGCTGTTGTTTCTCCCATCCTAAGAGAAAAAAATAAGCCTGATTAACCTCACTTCCCCCTCCAGTTACCACCTCTTTCTCTGCTTCCCTTCACAGCAAAAATTCATGAAACTTCTAACATTGTCCCTAATTTCACTCTCCTCATTCTCTCTTAAACCTACTCCAGTAAGACTCTAACCTATGCCACTCTGCCCAAATTGATCTTGTTAAGCTTCTGGTGACCTCCACATTGCTAAATTCAGTGATCAATTTCCAGCTCTCAAATTTTCATAGTCTGTCAATGGCATTTAATGCAGCTGCTTGCTCATTCCTTCTAGATCTACTTTCTTCATTTGACTTCCATGGCACTGTGCTCTCTTTGTGTTCCTCTTGCCTCTCTGGAAGTTCCTTGAATCATCGTACAGATCTCTCATCTTCTCTCCAAATCCTAACAGGGGAATGCCATAGAGTTCAGTCCTTGGGCCTCACTTCCTTAGGAATCTCATCCAATCTTAAGGCTTTAAATACCCTCTAATGCTGAAGATTCCTAATTTTACACCTCAGCATACACATCTCTCTTGTCTAGACTCATATAGCCATGTGTCCATTACACATCTCTACTTGGATATGTAATAATCATCTCCAACTTGTGCCCTACTGAGCCCCTAATCTTCCTTCCTAAACCTGTTCACCCCCATTTCCATTAGCAACACCTCTATCCTTCCAAAAGCCCAGAATTCCCCCAGCTCATTATGTTGTAGACATTCTGACTTCTTTGCTGTTGAGTACGTCAGGCATGTTCCTGCCTCCAGGAAGGTTGCCTTGGCTTTTCCCCTTACATATTTGCATGAGTCACTCTCTCAGTTCCTTC